ATACCGTTTAGAGATTAGGGGTCTTATGTGTTACCCCTATTTAAAATTTAACCCCTAAGCCCAGAGCCCTGAACCCTGACCACCAAACCCTGAATCCCAGACCCCTAAACCCGAACCCCTGAATAAACCCCAAAACCCAAGGTTTAGGGTTAGGGTTTAGGGTTTAACCCAAACCCCCATAACCCCTTTGCCCTACTCTCCCGCTGCATCAAAGCTTCTGCTTGATCGGTGGGGTCAGCGCTGAGGTACTCGCTTTCTGGGCGGCTGTGGCTTGGGGATTCGGGATCTTAAGGAGTTTAGGGTTTAGGGCGAGTTTAAGGCTTAGGGGGTTAGGGTCCCGGTTGAAGGTTCAGCGATTCAAGGGGTGGAAGAAGGACGAGAATCAAGTACTAAGGCATCAACGTCGGGGTGAAATCCGCCCTGCTTCCAGGTCGAAAGATAAAATCCTGAAGGGCCATCAGCCCAGGTACCTAAAGTAGCAACACCCCAGTCCCCGAAATTCCACATCCCTAACAGTAGACCCTGAGCAATGATCCCAAAACCCCGAATCCAAATCCATGACTTCGGATAAACAGCGTCTCACACGGAAGCTTATCCTGCAAGGTTCGGGATACTGCTGCTTTAGTATAAGGGGCTGCAAGGGGACCAGCTGATTCAGCACAGGCAGAACTCAATATGAACCGTTCGCACCCGAAGCCCTGGACCCTGGAGGGTTGAGTTTAGGGTTTAGGAGTTTAGGGGTTTAGGGGTTTAGGGGTATAGGGGTTTAGGGGTTTAGGGGTTTACTAGTTTAGGGGTTTAGGGTTTAGGGTTCAGGGTGAATCATCATAAATAATAAGGGGGTGCTGGAATCGTAAGTGGCAGATTGGGTGGGTTTTGACTTGAGCGCTTGATCGGGTCTGGAGTCTGCGACCACATGCACAGACCCGAAACCCAAACTCCCTAATGTAGGGGCCTTAATAAGTAGAATAAGGTTTTCAGGGTTTCTATACTAGAGTTATAATCACGAACCCCCAAAATAGTATAGGTAGTTATTAAGGCCCCGAAATTAAATCTTCAGACAATCCTTCTTTCTTATGAGCCAAACCCTAAACTTCACCCCTAAATCCTAAACCCAAAACCCTAGACCCTAACGCCTAAATCTTCAAGCCCCAGACCCTAAGCCCCCTGAAACACTCGCCCAGCAGCGAAGCCCCAGCTTCTCAAACTCAGCGACAAGTCCTGCGACATGGAGGCTCGGGTTCGGGGGTTGGGGCTGGGTCGTTTCAGGTTTGGAGTTTGGGGTTCAGGGTTTAGGATTTAGGCCCCAGGGGTTAAGAGAGGTCTATGCAAGAACGATCGTACGCTTTGCGTGTTGTACTGAGGAGCTCACACATGCACTGGAGTTGACAGAGTCGGTTGGAGCTTAGGTCAGGCTTTAAAACATGAGCTAGCAATTCTAAGTTTCAGAAGGTATGGGACTTGAGCTTGTTTGACACTGTTGATTTCAGTGCCATGGCTGAGCGGCCACAGCATTGGGGGCAGCACGAGTAGAAGTAGAGTAGTAGCAGCATGCCGCTGTTGTTGTTTCCACGTTTTGCTGCTACTCCCACTACTTGTTTTGGGGAACCTTGTTTCATTTTCGTTGTCTTTTTGATACATGGATGTCAAGTTCTGATGGCCATTATACGCATGTACCTGCAAACTACCTGGCACGCGTGTACCTGATTTTCATATTGCAAATTACCAAGGGCATGCAGGTACTTACGTTTGTGGGAAGGTTTTTCCGTGCTGGTTTTCGGGACATATTCCCGGACGATATAGGTCACCTTGAGCCCGGAAGCCTAAAACTCGAAGCCCTAAACTCCGGAAACAAAAATGCCGTTGCATGTCCTTCGCCTTCGGCTTCGTACAGACCCGGATCTCCAGACACGATGTAGATCTTGTTCCAACCGTACCTCAGGCTTTTTTAGGGTTTAGGGTTTAGGGTTTAGGGTTTAGGGTAATCTTTCAGCCTTGTGGTTTCGGATTCCGCAATCATTGGCTGAAGGCTGCAAACTCCTTGGCATTCCACCCGGATCCAGGTTGATGGTAGGTGATTGCAGTTAAGTTCTCAATGCGGCACTTGGTACCCACTGCGCCACTCTTGTCTGCACGGGACCATCCCTGGAACAAAGGATCCGGGCTTGCCCAAGAGGACCTCACAAACCTGAAGCTTTCCGTGCAGGCTGGAGGGACGCCGCCCGCTCTGTGGCTAGCAGGGAGTCTGCGTAAACACGGCGCTAACCCAAGTGCAAACCCTTTGCACCATGTCCGCGGCAGGCACGACCCTCAACCCCCAACAAGTATGAGGCCCTTAATTCAACGAGACAGAGCGATAGAGAGAGAGAGAGAGAGCGAGAATGGTGGAGGACAAACAACAAACAGGTTTTGCCTCAAAAGTCTGGTTCTTGCAACCAGATTGATAGGTTGGCACCTGGCAAGCCATTGCGCTGCTTTGTGGCTGTGCATGCGATACACTGGCCTTCCAAACGTCCCATGCTGCTACGTCGCCATCATATGGCAACGTGTCCTGATGCTGGGAGATGAGCTTGGAAACATCTGACCATCGCAACTTCCGCCAAATCTGAGGTGCGCTCGGTCTCCATTGCAACGGAATGTATGAAGGGTATTGAATCTTGAAGGCTACATGCAGAATACTCCGCAAATTGCCGATCTTGTGAGTGCTGTTTTGCCTCTGACTCTCCGGTTCCGTGGGTGTCTGCGTTGATGCTCGTGCTGCGACCATATCTCAGCCGGAGAAACAATATGACAATATGTCTCCTCACACGGTCTTTGTGAAGTCAGCCAGCTTTCGGAATGCCGGACATCCTGATGGAGCAGCTCATATGTTTGTGTTACTGGGGCGTCTGACATGTCTGATGCACATACCGGCAAGGCAAGACGTTTACTCATGCGATCTTCAGCATCGCACCTACGGTGCTAAGCATGTGAAACAGAGCGAGAGTCTCTCAGAGGTTGCCGAATCCTGTTCAGGCCCAGCATGCGAAAGCGTCTGTGCAAAAAAGAATTCCACTGGAACAGCTCCCTGAAGGAATCCAATGCGCCTAAAGCGTCAGATCTGGATGTCCTGCACTGGCATCTGACGCATCATCAGTTACACATTCTGGAGTGGCAAGCGTGAACGTCATGTGCATGTATGTCGCTGAGGTCAAAGTCACACAGTCATGATCAATCTAAGAGAACAGTGGTGCCAAACATCGCTTAATGGCTTGCTAGCAAGTCTACCACAGAGCTTCCATGCCCTGCCGGGTAGTTGTATGCTTCAGACAGAACATTCCTGACAAAGTTGCGTTGCACACGCATCCAGATCCAGTCTCAGTACGAAGATTCGTCGCAGATACTACACAGGAAGAGGGGCAGACTTACTGTTGTGTCTGGTTCAACATCCTTCTGGCAGACATCTGCAGTAGAAGTCTCAAAAGACAGTTCATGAGCCATTGCGGACGGGTGCTTCTGTCACGGAACAAGTGAATTGCCAACGGGCAACAGAACGACGCAGAATGCCCGACGTCGAGGGGCAAAAAAAGCGGCGTGATGGCACCTCTCCGGAGCCACCGCCGAGTCGTTCGACTTTATGTACGCCGCCTTAGAGCAGAGAATCACTGATCCAAGTTTTTACTTGTGCGGTTCCTCCTCTTAGGCCAGAGCTTTTAGTCGGTGAGTGGTCAGGCGAGGTAGAATGTGAGCCTGTGACACACTGCTGGGCTCCGTATGGCTGGGCTCTGATCTTTCGCCCACCTTGGGACTGGCGCTGGCGAAGCTCAGGTCATTCATGTGCTTCACCCACTGGCCAGGAGGGCTGGATCCGACTGCACTGACGCTGAGCTATGACTTTGTAGCTGTGAAGCTGCTCTTGCCTTATCTTCTGGATCCTGGGACGCGCTGTCAGCTATGTTGTAGTGGATCCGTCCGTCCTCTTCAGCATGACAAGCACTTCCGGCAAGACTCACTGGGCATTGAGTCTGATGATTCCTCGCGGCCCATTGCCAAGCGCACCATCGCATCCTGGCCAACATTGACATGCGATCGCTTCCGGTAAGATGTCGGTAGGTGCCTCCACGTCATCAAGGAGAGTCCGGCAGTTCTTCCGCACAAGGCGCACAAACTCGTTCGCCGGTCCGAACCTCGCAACAAATCGCCACTCACAGCACTTCCCATCATTTCACGGACGCACGATCTCGCAAGGACACGAACAAACCGATCTGCATCAACTCCAGCCGTGCAGCACTTCAAACGTCTTCGGAAACAGGAGGAGGAAGGACGACAACCCAATCTTGCAAGGGCACAGGGCGCGACACAGGGCACGTGAAAAAGTCTGGACCGCTTTCAACCAAGGCTGGCAGACGTCGTAGTGCATCCACACACCAGGTCTGCCAGTGCGTGTTTTGAATTCGACAGCCAGCCTTGCCGGAACCAATGCTCAGCCGTACTCTCTGCAAACCCTGGCAAGACATGAATCCAGTGAGGCATTACCCTCCATGGAGGCTGCTTTGCCAGAACAGTCAAGCAATGAGGGTCTACAGGTGCCAATGAAACTCCAGAAGCGCTTGTTAAAAAGGCCAGCAATTTCTCGCTTCAGGCATGGCTCTTCCAGGGATTATCATAAACTGGCTGACCGAACCAGGTAATAAAGACTTTGCCGCCTGGAGGGTGTCCAGGCATGACCACCGCCTGCCACTTACAAGCAGGAGCCCTGCAACTCTCAACCGGATACCATACCTGCAAACTTTCAGACATGGTAAACCCATCCTGCTCAACAATGGCAGGAGTGCACAGCGGAAAAAACAAGCGACCGCACCACCCTTCCGTGCACCCTCTGTGTGCCGCCCTCTCGTTGCCAAGTCCACGGGCTGCCAGGCCTGGCACTCCACCACCTAGGATGTAGGCGATCTCTTGCGCATCCAAGTCCACCTGCCAGGAACTCTCTCGCTCTACGACCGCTACTTCATCGTATCTTGCCGAACCGTCCTTGAGGCGGTGGGTGCTGGAGTACGTCACTGTTCCACTGGAGGACCTGCTTCGCCCAGGGGCAGAGATGGCCGCTGTGCGCTGCACCACTAAGGACCTGGCCTCAGCAAACCCTTCTTCGTCTTGGAGAGGCTATTGCGAGAGGCAACCACCACGGTGTCCTGAAAACCCGCGGACAGGATTGCGCTCACCGTCGGGACACTTAGACTTAGCACCGCGCCATGTCTCTGACCCGAATGCCATCAACCAAATGTAGCCTGTCAGACTCATGGCTGTTGGCAGTTTCTTGCACTACCACTGCACGCTTAAACGACGAGCCTGCGCCAGGCACGCGGCCAGTGAGGTTTGATAGGCTCCAACGACTTGTAGTATGTCAAAGGCTCCTGCTCGTAAGCTGTCACACATCACAAGGCTTTAGATTACCTCAACATTGATATTCCGGACATCCGGTTTTGACATGTGGGCCTCAAGGGTGGAATCCAGAATGTCGCAGCTGCCTGAATGGCTTAGGGAACAGCAAGCTCAACGGTATGTACACGCAAGCTTCGAACAACTGCAAGAAAGGCCACGGCGAGTATGCCTCAGGCGTGACGGCTTGGATCTGGCAACGGGGGCCCAAGGAATTTAGGCTGAGGACTCACGGAGTGCAGGCGGAACATGCCGCGCCTCACTGCCCCGAAACGCCAAGACCGCCTTTTTCTGCAAGCTCTTCATCGCGCTATCTAAGATTAACCTAGAAGCGGCTCCGCTTTGACGGATCTGGCTTTCCGCCGGTGGTTCACCAGCCGCGAAGCCACTACCGCAACAGCAGCACCTAGAGAGAAAGTGCATGCCAACAGCGGCAGCTCTGGATATTGATGAGTGGAGGTTGTCGCAACCATGGCAGCAGGAGCCGCAAGAACAGCTTGAAGCTCAGGATCATGAACTTGTGTAGTTGTACCCGACATGTAGCTGCCCAAGACACGCCCTGCAAGCACTTCGTCCAACTCCCCAAACCTGGGGATTGCCCAGTCGCACTCGGACCTTGGCAAGAAATCAGCGGCAGTGGCGCAGTGTGTTCGTGGTGCGCTGGGGGTGCACTCTACTCACAGACTCTGTGTGGTACGTGGCCAGCATGTCCCTCTTTATCCCAGTCCTTCCCCCACTTCTCCTGGCTGCCCTCCCACCCCAGCACCCGTTGCCGATGCCTATCGCACTGTCGTTTTGTTCAAGACTTTCCATCTCGAACTGTCTGTGCACTCTTGACTATTGACTGGAATGTTATGCACACATGTATGTATATGTATGTATATGTATGTATATGTATGTATATTTATGTATATGTATGTATATTTATGTATAGGTATGTATATGTATGTATATGTACGTATGTGTATGTATGTGTCTGTGTATGTGTGTGTATATATGTGTATGTATGTGTATGTATGTGTATGTATGTGTATGTCTGTGTATGTCTGTGTATGTATGTACCTAAGTACGTAGGTATTGTATGCACGTGTGCACGCATGTATGTATGTATGTATGTATGTATGTATGTATGTATGAAAACACACACACACACACACACCGACCGACATAATGACATACGTGCGTACGCATGCATTCAGCTAGGTGTCTGCAGCCAACACGTCAAACATCTCCCCCAGGCAGCTCAACCCGGGGCTCGGTGCACAGACTGGAACCAAGCTTGTAAGCCACCGACTCGCTCTGTAGCATGTTGACACCGCGCTTCAACTTCAACCAGCCGTTGCTACCCCAGTAGGTGCCCCAGCTATTACGAATAATCCAATATTTCATTCCCGATGCCGTCGTACCCCATCCAGTTACCTCCATAGTGTGATCGATATCATCTGTGGTGTATGTTTTGTTGGAAACGAAGACGCCCTCGTTTTCTGCAGCAACCTTGCTGTAGTTCATCATGAACATTGCATCCGTTGCGAAGGAGCAGGCAATAGGCCCACGAGCGTAGATTTCCTTCATCATCGCAACCTCCCCGGACAGGTTGCCGAATGAACTCACCCCATAGCCGGTCCACGTGTCGATTGACCAGCATCCGTGCTTCGGCAGGCAGTTACGGCACTGGTCCGAGGGATTGCACTGCATGTTTCGGGCCTGATATGGCATACACGTCTCGTCTGGAACATCGTTTTTCATCAGATATTGGTGGATCATCCAGGGGTCTCCACCATCGCAACCAGGCGGGGGAACGCTGGTATTGCTGGGATCGGGCACACAGTTCATCAAGACCTGCCGTGCGAGCATCACATCAGGGAACTGTCCCTTGCGCATGATCTTGATTCGGTCATTCAGGGCAGCTGTCGTCCCATGTATCCAGCAAGATCCGCAGTACTGAGGAATGTGTTGGTTCACATCACTGGTCACGAAGTTGCGCCCTCCCACGCTTCTCCAGTCAAAGGAAGCAGGGAGATCATCCTTAGAGACCAAGGCATCTGCCGTGACTAAGTTTTGGGGAGCAGTGCGAGGAAGCCACTTACGCGAGCTCCTGTACCCGTGATTCGCATCCGTTGTCAGGCAAAGAAGGCTGATGCACAGCCAGGAGAGTGATCCTGGCAAAATCTTCATGCGGCCCATGACCAAGTGGTTCAATCAGGAGCGTGAAGGCAAGTCACGCTGACAAAATTTTGAGCCAAAGAAGCTACATTGCATTTATCTATTTTCATATGGCGGCACAAACACTGATAGGTGAAGACGTGAAATCGTGAGAGGCCTCGTTTGCTCATGAGGACCTCCTCTTTCCCGCTCGGCAAGAGACTCTTGCAGGCGCTGTGTTCGCTCCTCAGGAGCTCTCAGGAGGAGCGAAGCGCAGGGTGGGTTGCGGCAATACAGACAACCCAGGTGACCTGGTCCTCTGTCAGGCTCAACTCGAGGACCTGCCACGAGAACTTCGGAGCTTCTTGGACTGGAATGAGCGGATGATCCAGCCTTCATTGCTGGAGCGACGAAAATTTAAAGAGACGATGCTTGAGCATAAGGGTCGGACATCACGCATTCGCACCCAGGCATGGCTTCGTCGAAGTGCACTTCCGAACAGAGAATTCCCTCAATCACAATTTTCTTCGTTCTATGTTCAAGGAATGTTGGTCTCTTTGGACCAGCCATAATCCGGGCCTCAGGGCTCCCGTCTAGGAAACGATAAAACGCCCATGCTGCTCTGACAGGCAGAAGATCTCCATCTGCTCTCCTTGGCGAAGTAGTCAAGTCAAGTGCACACAAGGGCATTGCCCATCTGTCAGCACTCGGCTGGCGGTATCACTGCGTTGCCGCGAACAAGATGCAGCTTCATGCAAAGAAGTACCTGCGCAATTTAACATGCAAGCTGGACGTTTCCTCGCTTTGTGACCTCTCTCTCTCTAGGATGTTCGGGTGTGAGGTTGGTGCAAGAACCCATTAACTAGGAGTCCACCGGCAACACACATAGAAGTGTGGAGCAGATCGTGTGCAACACCAGTTGCACTGCAGCAGAGCAGGGCGCAAGCTGTCCCTTACGCGATCGAGATCCAGTTGTCCTTCGGGGTTATTTCGCTGTGAGCTCAGTGCAGACGACAGAAACTTGTCTTCACGGGCCTTGCTCTGGCAAAGGGGGAGGGACTTGGCCACCGAGGTGCACTTTCATGTCCTGTCTGTTAAGGTTGTTGTCACTGGAGTACTCACATCGCAGGTCCTCGTACAGCTCAGCAAGGATAGGCCTTTTGTGAAGCTCAACGAAGGCATCCTGCAGTAGCACCAGAAGGGGTCGATGGCAAGTCTGCAACAATACCAAGCTTCTGGCACGGGTGAGCATATTCAGCTTGGCGGTGTCACAGGCGTGTGTCCAAAACGAGTCATGTACCTAAGCTTTCGGAAGATGCATCAACCGAGGTCGAACGCGAGACTCAAAGGCGACCACTGCCGCGAACGTCATGCCCTCGCGCTGGCAGCTCTCTGCAACCATCATCATGTGCGAGGCCTCTGTTTGGAAGCGAGTGCCAAAGCAGGGAACACAAGTGAACCAAGCCCTGTGCATCAAGTGAATGGATGAAGTTCGGTGGGTAGCCCATTCTCTGCCGCATCTGGAACGGGGCATGGCCATGCGCGGAGCAACGCATGATTACTTAGCCTGCTAACAACGGCACTTCGGCTGAAGCGGGCCTGGTTGATTGTTGGTGCATCGCCGGTTTTCAACGTAACCTGCCAACGGAGCATGCTCCCCTCACAAGAACTGAAGAGAAACATACCAGAGAGGCCGTCTGGCGCTTGCTGCGAACCACCGCTTTCCGCGCATTCCGGTAAGGCTGCACGCAGTTCAGGCCGACGGGTGAGATCCAAGCGTTTGGAGCCTGTCCGAACTCTGGACGCCGTCCCTCGCAACTGTTGACAATGAAATCACGCCCTCGCCTGCAACTTGGAGAAAATCTTTGTGATCTGGTTCAACCAGTTTTGGATTTTCATCGCCTGCGCGAAGACGTCATCAATGGAAGCCAAAACCAACCTGGCGAACTCCGGCACTGGACAACTACTGACACCTCCTGCTTATGCCGATCTTCCTCACAAGACCCCTAAATTGGAATTCAACACTCATGGTGTTCTTCCATCTTTGGCTTTTGATGGTTCAGCGCTTGCCAAACATCGCTTCTCTTGGGGTTGGGTTCACGATTTCCCAACTACGGAAAGAGGACAGCTTCGGTAGATACCGCTTGGGCCAAAAAACTCACATCTCGCACAAGGACCTAGGAACACCTTCGCTGAGTCGGTCTGGACGTCCTGAAAAGGCTTCCCGCATCTACAGTAACACCTATGACCGAAACTCCTCCAAGCCAGATGCACACCGATAGTGCTTATGGCGGTTGTCGTTCTTGCGGAATCCGACTCTCGAGTCGCAGGCAATTGGGGGGGGGTCGTCGATGAAGCCGGGTACGCTGTGACATATTGTACACTCTCTGGACTTGATTGTTCTTGAGACCTGCACCTGGGTCTTCAGTGTCTCAGATGGATCAACACCACAGACAGCTCGGGTTAAAATCAGCTACCATGGTGCAAAACACTCTGGTTGCTCTGTGAAATTGAATCAAATCGTATTTTCCAACTACTTCCAGAGAACTCGAGCACAGGGCATCGAATGCTTCGAGCGGGGTGCGTATAAGATTACATGCAGTTCTTGGCTGAAAATCTCACTCCTAGAGACAAACACGTCAACGCAGACAGGCCAAGCGCACGGGGCCTCGACAGGTACTTTGCCAGCGCCAGGATTTCGTCGGGGTCGACCTGGCAATATAAACCACCACGATCAAAGCGACTGCAACCACCGCATCGCGCCTTTTCGCCCACCATGTCCTCGATCTGGCCTTGGACTTGCTTGCGAGCTCCGACCTGGCTGCTGGACATGTCCGACGTTGCGGTGAGATTGGCAAATGGTCGGATGCCACGAATTCTCCTTAACAGCGACAGCTGCAGATTTCCCTTTTGCCATCAGCGCGCCGGCTTGGATGACACGATCTGGCTTCGTGCACCCTCGCACGGAAGATGGAGCGTGGTGGAAGACGAAGGTTGACCGAAAGATCACTGAGGCCGCAAGTCTGCTCTTTCGCTCACTTCCCGTGCGCTTCAATCAACCCTTCATTGATGAACTCCGTCAATCGCTTAACGGAAGGATAGTCGAACATGAGCGTATTCGGCATGGTTAAACCAACGAAATCCTTCTGAATTGCATTTCCAAATTCCACTGCAGCCAGGCTGTCTAGACCTGCATCCATCAGCGGCTCGTCGTTGTCCAAGGACTCAACTCCGATGAGAGACAAAGCAGTGTCTTTGACAACTTCTTCAATCTCCGCCAGCGTGGGACCTTCACAAAAGAAGACTTTAATTCGGCTCTGAAACTTCTAGAAAACCCGAGAGAAGAGCTTAGGACTAGTTGCAGGCCCAGGCCCAGGCCTTTGTAAGGTGCCACCTCCCCGGCGGCCTGGGAGGCTGCTGGGCCTCCTGCTCCTGGCGCTTGTGGAATGGCAGGGACCATCTGCACAGGCATCGCCTGCTGGTTGAAGGACATTGGCTTGCGCCGGGCACCACCGGGCTTCGGTCGGAACTTTTTGACCATCCGTGTCCTCCTCTGCCCTCCTCCTCCTCCTGCTGCAGCGCTCTGCGCCCGCTGGGCCTCGCTCTTGTCGTGCGCTTCACGCATGCTAGCATCGATAAAGCCCGAGAGCAGCTTGACTGAAGGAAAATCGAACATCAGAGTCGATGGTAAGGCCACGCCGGAGAACTCTTTGGCTAGTGTGTTGCCAAATTCCACGGCAGCTAAGCTGTCAAGGCCTGCATCCATCAGCGGTTCGTCTGCATCGAGAGTCTCAACACCTATCAAACTTAGTGCCACATCGCTGACAGTAGCCACAATTTCGCTTGGATTGGGCCCGCTGTAAGCTTGAATCTCCACAGGTCCACCACCGCCACCACCTTCCTCGATCACCTCTTCTTCCCAATATTCCTCCATTTCGTCATCACCCTCAGCATAGTAGCGTGGTCCGCCAGTATCTGTCGGTCTCACACCGATTGTCTTCGGCGTGAGTCGCTTCAGGATTGCTTGTGCTGCAGCTTCCCCAGATTCATCTCTCTGCGTGGTGAACAGCTGCAGAGCCTCGTTTGCCAGCTGCTTTGCCTGAGAACAGAACAGACCCGCTTAAGACAAAGCCTCACTGAAGCCGGCCCCGGCCCCGGCCCTGCCTCGGGATGATGCTTGGCACCGTTGAACTCGGCGAGTTGCGATTTCACGAGGAGGAAGTGCGCTTCTGCAGAGGCATCGGCAACGGTCCTTAGGCACAAGTGTGTTGATCTAGATCATTTGAAAAGCGAAATAAAGTGAGATAAAGTGAGGCAACATTCTCTGACAGGCATCTGTGCCACCGGAAGCCCCTCTTCAATGGACTTTGCTGCTGCATCTGCTTCTAAGCACATCATCTGAGCCGTGGCAAGCGACAACCTTGGAGCGTGCAGACCATGCGGCAGTGAAAGGAGCAAAAGCGCCTGGGACACACCTGACCATGAAGAAGTGAGCAAAAGCCAGGTAGCAGTGCTCGCGACAGCAGCTGCTCGTCCTGCCCAGACAGTCGGACCGTTTTGACCCACTGCAAGAGATGCAATCGCTAGTGCTGATAGCATAGAGAGCGAAAGCACCATGTCACACGTGTTAGATATCTTGTTCCACCGGACACCTGCTGCTGTAGGAAGTGCACTGAACCCCTGGAGTGTCCTCTTGCGGTCGCGACAGTTGAAGAGCATCCTTGGCAGCTTGAAGAGCTCGTTCGAAAGCTGCTCTGGCTGGTCTCTCCTGGTTGTCGTCCTTGCACGGGTAAACCACACTGCACCGGACAGAGACGGTGTTAGACCGCTCTTTTTTTGGAGCCTGTTTGGTAGACCCTTTTGCAAGATCCCTTCTGAACTGCTACTCCTGCAGAGAGGATCGCTCAAGGATTCAAAGCACAGAGGTGGTGCCAAACAACCAGAGAGATTACATGGAGCCATCAGAAAGTCCACTCTCACAAAATTATTCGTTCTATTGTTAAGCCGTCCAGCCGTCCTACCACCCCATACACGTAGGAGACATTACCAGCCAAAGCCTGAAAATGGTTCACATACTGAACCAGCACCCCTCCAGCCTTGCGTGGAACCAGCCCTTAGGCCGAGCAAACGTCAACCCAGCATTTTTCAACAGAGCTGCAGGATAAACGACGGACCTGACCCGAGAACAGCCAAGCTCAAGTGCACAAGCGACAGGAGCCTGAAATCTGTTTTCAGAGTGCTCCCGAGACTACTGTTCACAGCAGAGGACTGGCCGGTCGCTTGGAACCCGTGGTTTTCTGGCTTGTGGAGGTCGGCTTTTGCTCCTGCTGCTTTTGGAGCATCCGCGGACAACTCCGGTGTAGAAAAGCGCCATCTATTTTCGATGAGCAGAGGCACAAAGGCTTCCCTGATCTGGGTCGTTTTCCTGGGCTTCTGCACTAGATTTGCCTTTTACCAGAGGGCCACGATCTTGACGGACAGAAAAATTTCAAGCGAGAGTTGTCATGTCCTCGTCGTCTCCATGAAACCAATCGTTTCTGGTGCCAGTCTCATCAGCCTCGAACGAACTCGCTGGCAAGTTTGCACAGAATCTTCCGACTATCCCGAACATGCATGAGATTTTGAGAGCCGCACAGATTCCAGCACCTTTCCTTCACTTCGGGCCTCCCGCAACAGTCTGGAAAACAGCCGAAACATGCAAGATGGACTTGGGACATGCAAGGGTGGGGCTGCCTTTTCTTCCTTTGCCTTTGCTCGAAGATCTAACTCCTGCTTCTCTTCGTCTGATGCAGCTGACAGGAGGGTCTGCGCCAGTTGTACACATGCCCATGCTTCACTTTTCCGATCACCCATCTCTCGCTGCAGTTCCCGACACCTCAGGGCATCACAAGAGTGCGTTGTTGCATCTTCGCCAAGTCGCTATGCTCCAGAAACACTGGCAGCTGCCTTCTAGCGGCTGCAATGGCGCGGGGAAAGTCATTCAGATGAAGGCGAACTTCTGCCTCGCAGGACGCTCCGGCTTTCATCAGCCCAATCTGTTGCAGCCAACACAGAGTGCCACCTGCCTGCATTCGCAGGGCATCTGCCTCACCTTCACGGTCGCCCACGGAGTTGAAGATTCGCTGCGACTCTACGGTCACTGCGGCACCTTGAGACTCAGAAAAGAGCAGAGAGCTGAGTTCAGCAAGCGCAACCACCAAGCGCAGCAAAAGCGTGGCCTCGCTTGAGCTCGCCTCGGGCGCAGTAGGCAGAGCAGAGCTGCAGCAGGGCAGATGCCTGAAAGCGATGCAAAGCGAAAAAAAGAAAAACTCCTCTCTCTCTCTCTCTCTCTGACATCAGGAGAGCAAAGGCAGCTGCCTTGCCTCTCCTTTCTTGGTTTGCGTCTTCCTGGACAAGTCCCGCGATCTCATCGCCGCTTTCAATCCAAGACGGTGTTCCTTTTTGAGCAGGGCCAGCTCGGACTGAAGCAAGTAAGCTGCAGCCAGGGACTTCCGGTCCTGCGAGCTGGGGAGGCTAAGGGGATCTCACGGGCCGCACAAAAGCCGCCGCGATTCTTCCACTGAGGTCCTTCTGCTCGCTAGCAACTGCAATGGTTTGGTCGACTATCTTTTCTGCATTCTCCACATCTTCTGCCCTCAGGTAGATCTTGGCCAGCGTCTGCAGCAAATCTATCTCCCAGCATTTCAAGAGCCTGGAAGATGGTCGACTTTGGACTTTGCGCAGCGTCTCCTCAGCCACGTCCGCAGCTTGCCGCAATCGCCCAGAGTTCACGTACACGGAGACAATGGAGGACTGCGCCACGATCTCACTCTCGAAATCTCTGTTCCGTCGAAATGTCTCCAGTCGCTCTTGAGACAGCTTCAGGGCTTCATCAGTCTTTCCCATTGTAAGGTATGCATTTGAGGCATGGATGAGCGCTGCTGCAGATCTGGCAGGAACGGGATCCACTTGGGCTTGCCGCTGGGCTTCCCTCTGCATCTTTTGCTCCAGGGCAGCTTGGGCGGCTTCAAGCGCCTGACACAAAAATGCCAACTGCCGTGCGCCGTGTCATGCCACAAAAAACTAACTGCATACTAGCAAGTCTTGGCGGGGTTGCTTTTCGTCACCTGCCTCCTCCGGCCTGTGACGCACCAGCTCCCACTCACTGACACACTCCTGCTGGAATGCCTGTGACACGACGGCGCGACATTGTGCTGTGCTGCCCGTACCAACAAAGACCCTTCCAGGTAGTATCACTGAGGCCCAGCCTCCAGGCGAGTGTAGCCAAGGTCGCGCCAGTACGACACCAGTTCTCTAGATCTGGCAACGGCCTCATCAATGTTGTTCTGAAAGGAAAGGGCGACCTGGCACAGTCAAAGCCTGGACCAGAAACTGAATAGTGCATGCCTGAACATGTGTCCCGCTCTTAGCTTGCCTTCCACAAAGAGGTGACATGTAAAGATAGCTTAGCCGTCAGCACATGGAGAAGGTGGGGGACCCCCTTCGCACCCTTTGAGACCGGCTACCCAAGGGCAGAGTAGGATGTAGAGGCCTTTTTCCAGTTTCCACTACTATGATGCAAAAACGCAAATTCTGAGACTAATCGCTCAAGCGACGGCAGTGGTGTGCATGGCCTTTCCTTCACCTGAGAAGCAACAATCGTTTCTTCCACATATGCTGCAGAAAGCCAGCCCTTGCTTGTGAAGGCCCCGCCTACTCTGTCACCAACCTCTCGAAAAACAACTTGCGCTTGCGCCGCTGCTTCCAGAGCTTTGGTTAACTCTTCAGGCACTTCGCTTTTCGTGCCTGTGCGAGCGGAATGGTGCTCGTCCGCTATCGTGCTCCAAGGGTAGACACTTGCCCCTTGCCTTTTTGGACATGGGTGTGAGCTAGTGCAATCAATGCCCATCCCTGCCAGAGGGCGACACAGCTGCTGTGCTTTCTCTGGCTGCCATGCATGTCTGCTCTGCCCATGCGCTCTCCCACCTCGAGACGCTGTTCCCCCAGCTCTCTGAAGGCCTTCACGGCCTCCAGAGCTGCCTCCAGCGCCTCTTCTCGTCTCTTGCTGCCACAACGTGAATTGGCAATCTCCGCGAAGGCCAAACGCAGAACAGCCTGATGCTAGGAAGGATACAACCAAGCTCAACTCAAACTGAAATCCCATCTCACTTCGCAGACGAGGCACTCTCTGCCGATGGCTGCAACCATCTCGAGAAAGCTCTTGTGCCAACAGACCAAGGCCAGCTTTGCGGTCGCCTCTGGCTGAACCTCACCCACATCTTCTAACATGTATACTCCTCGAGCAATAAGGGACTTGTCCCGTTCACGACGTGTCATCAAAGTGTCAACAAACACTTCGAGATCGAAGTGGAAAGCACGACTCGACTAGAAGAACTTAAGCGCCGTAGTATCTGCCAGTGGTTCTGACTACAGCTGCACTAGGCCACGGACAAGCCAGTGCCAGCATCCGGACAGCATCTGCAGGACCTCAACAGCTTACCCAGCTTCCACTAAAACTTGAGACAATTCTGTCCAGAGCGCCTGGTGAATCCTGGGAGTTTTCTCGGAGGATGCTTAATGCCTTCTGCGCCTTCTGCTCTGCCAGCTGGCTTTCCTGCATACAGTACAGGACCAACAACGTCACTACTTTCTGCTTATACAGAGTTTGCACCTCTTCATCTATGTGCCACTCCGCATCCCGCAGAAGCCCGGCGGCATCTGTAGTTGACATGGCGAGAACGAGATCCAAATGTCGTGTATCCTGGGATTTGTGAATTGGCTGGTGGCAGCGCCTGGTCTCGGCATACCATCTCTTAGTCGGTTTCCGGACATTGTCCAGGCTACAGCCATCCGATACTTGTTTATAGCCTTATAGCATGTCGACCCCCACAGCCTTGAGCACAAGTCCATCACGCAAATTCCTTGTTCCGAAAGGTGTTTGATGCATGTCCTTATCTTGTCAGCAAGCGGCAAGCTAGGGGATTCGTTTGGCTGTGCATGGACATCGGTACGGGGGACAATTTCGAAGGCCCTCTTGCATGAAGCCCCATCGTTCCAGAGTGTTGGGCACATAAGCCTCTGCGCTCACATACGGTTTTGTGCTTTCAAGATGCAGCTACAGCTACATGCTCGCCGAGTGCAATCCCATGTAAGCCCATGTTCATATGTCTCGGAACCCGACCCCTGCACTCTTCGCTAGCTGTAGGGCGAATATTTCGGTCCCAGCTTCCAAGGGTCGAAGGAACCCCTTCAGTTTGTTCCTTCCCAGGTGCTGCTCCTCCTTGCCCATCCTAAGCCTGTTCTCAATTCCCGACTCGGCCCGACAGTCATAGGCTCTGCATCCACAAACGACAACGTCAAAGCCCCCAAGCAGCAAACCTTTCAGTAGTTGGGCGGCCCCCAGATCCACAAGCAGCCCAACCGAGACTAGGTAAGGTGGAGGCACGGAAGCTCGAATGGCAACCGTGCCATAATTGCACAAAGCTAACAGGTGCTGAACATGCTACCTGGTCGGCTCCAAAATGGTTCCAAAATCCCTTCTCGATTTCGACAACCAAAAAAGGATCGTCTTCGTCTTGGCTGAGGCGGCAGCAGCGGCACCAGCAGCAGCAGCAGGGCAGGAAAGCTCCACTGCTCTCTCCCTGAACTAGCAGCATATGATATCCCTGCGTCGTTAAGCATGCCCGGGTGCACCGCCGTGACACCGTAGCAGATGGTCATGATGGTCTGCTTCACAACCTGTGCCACCCGCTGTCACAGGTACAAGTGATCAAGGTCCTTCCCGCCTTCCGCTGTAGTATGCCCAGTTCCAGAAGCCTTCGAGCAAGGTGTCCTTGGTCCTGGCTCGGAGGACGGCCTTCTTGGCCTTCCTGCAGCTGAGCAGGTTGCACGACCTGAACAAGTCCAAAAGAACTGCAGACTCAGGGCCAAGCTGTCTGGACATAGACGGGCAATGCAGCATCGGCATTGACCTTGCAGAATTTTGCAATGCAGGCTGATGCATTGGAGAAGGCAGAGTAGTCGGGAGTACACAGGGCTTCCGCGGCACAGTGGTTAATGAGCAGCAGACCTTGTCTATTACAATCTTCAACACAACTGTGTAGACGTCCTGGGGCTTGTCGTTAGGCATCAAGTTCACGGCCTCAGTTGCCACACAGCCATTAAAGCTATTTAGCATCCTCCGGAACTGATGTGAAGCATTGTGGGCTCCAGCTGCACATGGCTGCCCCGCATCCCAGCCGGCCTCCCCACCTGCGAGATCACGGCCCAAAGCGGCATAGTGCCTGGGGCGATCTGAAGCATCACACAGCTCATTGCAACAGTGCCAGTCACAGCTGGCACATGAGGATGGCCACGACTGCTGTCCAGTAATATTTGGCCATGTCCTCTCTGAGACATCTGCTGAAGACCGTTGCAGGACCCGTCGACGTGCACTGGCAGATGGCTTCTGAACTCCTGGATCGCCGAGGTTACGCTGCGTACGAGCATTTGCTTCGACAGCAGAACGCCCCTGGCGCCTCTTCAGCCCCTGGCCGACTGTAGACTTCTGCGAGCTCCAAGTAGCGAGCCAGAACCTGCCACGGCCTCAAATTTCGTGAACCCAGAGGTCGAGAAGCTGCGTCTGCGAAGAATAGCCTTGGACCACGACCCATCATCAGCATCCGCCCAGTGTTCTATGCTTTCTGGGCTGAAGGGATCTTTAGCAACCTGGCTGAAGGATCCACTGGAAGCTTGCACGACTCCTGTAGAAAAACCCGGCCTGCATGATGATGTCTTTGCGGTCGTCCACCCATCTCACTCGATCTTCGAGCGAGATCTTGTTCTTGCCGTGCAGGTTGGCTACGCCTACCTTCGACCAGAAAAGACCTTCGCTTCCCAAAGGCTTGGACTCCGAGAACATCAGCAATGCACGGCTGACATCGTCCCCCATGTGATTCAGGTGTGGCCTCAGTTCCGGATCGAACTTCCGTACCTGTGCTAGAAATATCGATAGCTGTCAACTGAGCGGGAAACGGTAGAGGATAGCAACGCCCTCGAAAGTCTACGTTGTGTGGAAAGTAGAGCTTGTCCGCATTGACGAAATCTTCTGCACTCCGCAGCTTTAACTCGAACGTCGGTCTCTCCTTCGATGCAAGGGCTTCGGAAGAGTCCACGGGTCCACGAGCCAACTCACTCCCTCTCCAATTTCACTTAAAAGTGCTGGAGACTTCAAGGAGTTTGTGCAGCTGGCAAGCTTGCACATCAGTAGTCGGGTAGAACTCCGTAAGTTCCCAGAATGTCTTCATAGTGGGACAGCACACGGCGTGTGAGTCTTCAAAGTCTCTCTGTTGCAATAACAGGATGTTTCCACAGCTCTACAACCACGAACAATTTATGGATGTGTTCAAAACGAAATGTTGAACGGGGCTCCGATCGGAGTTCGCGGCAGCGCTTTTCGGCATTGAGACGCCTGTCACTGCGCCACATCTTAGGTAAACATCCCCAAATGATTTCGCAACTGTCTGCCGCTAGCGCCTGAGGCGCAGAACCTGATAGTCCGGATGGCTTTCATCTGGAACAGCTGGGACCTGAGGCGGCCATGTCTTTGGAATCCTGGGGCCGGCTAAGTCAATTCCAGTCGAATGCAGTGTCCACACTTCTTGAAGTGGGCACCATCACCTCTTTGATATGTGGGCTCGTGAAGCGGAATCAGCTCTCCGGTTAGTTGCTATGTCTAGACACGTGGATTGTACCGAAGCATCGCGGGGAAAGCGTTCCTCAGCTTCAAACTTACTTCGGCGGACGTACCAGGCTGTATCCCATTTACCCCTTTCGCTTCGCTGGAGCTCCACAGACAGTTGACATCGGAGAGGGCACTCAACACTCCATACTTCCGGTCGGCGCTCCTGCCGGCTGGCAGCCAACCCTGGCGAATTCCTTCAAACTGTCGCTTGGAAAGAGACCTCCTACGACCGCTAGCCTTCTGTGGCGAAGGGTCGGTTCCAGAATCTGAAATCTGCTTGGTGTAACCCAAATCGCTAAAAACAAACGAAACTGCTCGGCACTCTCCTAAAATCCTGTTCTGCTGCACTAATGCGATGCAGATTCTCCAGATGCGATTTGTCTTCCGTGATAGGGAGTGCTTCGGTTGACAAAGAATCACTGTTCTCCTGAATGTATGAAGGGGTCGACTCAATACTTTTGAGATGGAAACGATGAGAACCAGTCGACTTACTCCCTTAGTCCGGAAAGGACCAGGCCAAGATCACACACCGAGCGAAAGTCACAAAATCGCAAATCACGAGGAGTGTTGGGCAGCACACACTCAACAACACTGAATTGAATCAAAGGCAACAAGGAGCGCAAAACTGGTTTATGAGCGTGACCATTGCGAAAGGTGTGATGGTAAAGTAAACCTCTGAAACCCGACAGAACTCACAGGCCGCGTGCCCTCCATCCGAAAGTGCTGCCTCAAAAGAAAGAAACTACCATTAAGCACACTCAGAGGAGTGATGGGCAAGAGTGGACCAGCTGTTAAATAAATAACGACACCACGGGCAAGCAACGCTGAACCACCATCAAGAGCAACGCGTAGCAGACAGCAAACAGAGAAACAGTTTCAGTCAACCAGGAACCCAAAAATAAACGATGGTAGCAAACCTCGAACACTGCAAACACTGGGCAGCAAAGCCCACACCGGCGGAAGGAGTGATGGGCAGCAAACCCTAAAATCCTAAACATATCACAATGGGCAGAAATCCCTAAACTCTGAAAGGAGCATCATAGGATGAAGACCGGGTCTTAAACACGCAATACCACGAACAAACAACACGGAGTAAACTCAATCCAAGGAAAGTGTCTACCCAGACCTTCAATATACTTTACAACTTACAAAAGAAACACTTCACCTCAATGACATGAACCCAAAGGAAGCTACGCAACAAACTCCCAACCGGAAATCAAAACAACAGCAGGGTGAAAAATCTAGGACGCAAAGACACAATGCGTATCCCGACATCTGACAAACGAGGCATAGCAGACCCTGAACTTCGAAAGAAGCGATGGGTGACACAGCCCACAACGAAACCAGCAGCTAACCGAACTCTAAAGCTCAAAACCCGCAAGATTAGCCAACCATGACCCCTAAACAAAAACATCCATCACCTGCAAGCCCTAAACGCCCTAAACCCTGAAATAAACATGAAATCAACCCTGTGCGGCAACCTCACGTCCAAGAACGAGCAGAGATGGAGTGAGCGATGGAGTGTATACCCTAGGCCGTAGGCCCTTAAACCAATGATACACCTGACACCTCGATGACATGAACTCACAAGAAGCTACACAGCAAACTCCAAACTGGAAAACGAAACCACGGTAGGATAAAAACCATCAGCCGTAAGAATAAGAAATCAAGGGTAGCAAAATCATGCAAAATCAAAACTCACAACAAAACCAGCGGCAGCTAACCCTAAAGCCTAAAACCCAAAGAAATGATGTGCAGCAAACCGTGAAAAATCGGTCACCCTCAAGCCCTAAGCCTAAATAAATACAGGGCGGCAAGCCCCATATCCAAGAACAAACAATGGGCAGCAAACCCCAAACCCGAAAGAAACAATGTGCAGCAACACCTAAACCCTAAAGTAAAGAACTGATGTGTAGTACACGCGAAAGAAACTGGGGGTCCTGTGATGGGAAGCAAGCACCGGCCGTCAAACAGTGATGGTACGTTTTCCCAAACCCTAAAGCAACCAACATTCGGTGACCCTACACCGACTATCAACACCTCAACCTGTGCACCGAACCCTTTGCCCTGAAGCGACGCGAAGTAACAAAGTAGAGCAGGGTGATAAAAGACGGTGAGCCTTGTCATCCTCGGCTTGGTGTCTTGGCTTCAAGGCGTCTGTCGTCTTGCTTTGTTGAAGATTTGCTACCGATCGCCCCTTGCTCAAGGTCTGCTCCATACCATTACACCTCTTCCAGCGTTAGGAATTGAAAAGTGCTTCTTTTCGGTTCGGGCTTTGCCAACCTTCGCCTTGCTGGTGGCTTGAGGCTTCCTTCCCCCATCTTGCTGCCCATCGTTCCCGGGGCCGCTTTAAAGTTCAGGGAAGGCAGTTTCTACCACATAGTATGTACCATTCAGTTTTCATGTTTAAAGCTTGCTACTACCCAAATTCTATTGGGCTGGGTTTTGTTCGTGGTAGCTCGCTGCTCTGCAGAACTAGGGCTCTGGCTGGTGGGTCCTCGTTGGGAGGGATCCCCGCAATGGCCAAGCCGCGCTGCTGGGCCTCCCTGATCAAGTCCAGTATGCGTCCATTGATTCTCCAAGGCACTCTTCCAAGGAAGTCCTGCAAAGCGTGTCTCTCCATGGAGATTTGCAGCGTTGTTTACACTGTGCCACTGCATGCGCAGAGAAGTCCATAACTCCAGCGCTGCGTGACGCACTGTAGGATCTGAGCTGCGTCATCTGCTCGGAGGTAGTTCTCACGAAAGCCGACTTGTGCAGGATGTAGGGACCTGGGTGATGTGTTGAGAAGACTTGGAAAGCTGAGCCATCAAGAATGGAAAGTGACTTGCGCAGGCCGCGAACCTTGAGGAGAGTCTCCACACGGCTGCCAAGGCAACGGAGGAATTACCATTGGCTGCATCTTCGGCTTGATGAAATGTAGCATGTCACCCTGCCCAGTTCGGTACATAACCTAAACAGCTCTCTTTGAAAGACCGCGTCCTCCGACTCCATTCGCGCCCGGGCCAGTGGATGTAGCGACAAATATCCCACGACCTGAGTCAGTGGATTTTGAGCAACATCCGACCGACCCCAAGCTCATGCCATCTACGACTTGAGCGTGCAGCTTTGGTGCGTGTTTCCCGCCGCTTGCCATATTCCAAGGCCTTGAGCCACAGAAATGCGAGTACCGGTGGCACTGCATTCACGCTGCCATGCGAGAGGGCCTTCTCAAGCTCAAGCTCCTCCCTGCGCATACACGAGCAACGGAGGCTGCAACCGAAAATCGCCTTCCACTGCCGGCTGCGGACCCAAGCCTTGGCGGTAGACCGTCCGCCTGCTGCCTCAGAGTCTGCAGACTGCTGCTCTATGTTCTCAACGTGCCATCTGAGCTGCTAGAAGCCGTAGGGTTGGCCGTGCGACACGATGTCATGACACACAACATGCTCCGACAGGGCAGTTGCACTGTCGTGGAAGCAACCAACGCTATGACATGGAAAGTTTGCAAGCTGTAGTTTGCGAAGCGCAAGCACATGACTTGTCGCAAGATGTCTCCATCATGAATCTTGGCTGCTGGCCCATCGGCAACGACCTGAATCCGTGCCGCAGGAATGCTCAGGAAACTGTCCCAAGGGCACACTGGCCTTGCTGTCGGCGGGCATGCCGGGCACACGCAGTGCCGAGCAATCGATCAGCAAGTCCACCAATGCTGCACCCATAGGCACTGACTGAGTACGGTCTCGGAATGCCTCGCATCAGCGACAGTTTGCAAAATTCAAAAAGTCTCATGGCACGGTCTTCCGGCCAGGCCTGTCTAAGCCTGCGCATTTCCAACAGCTGTGGTTTCATGGCTCCTGATGGTGGCAGGCTTGTTCATGCTAGAAGACAACAGATTCAGATGCTCGTAAGGCTCCTTCCGACTTGGTGCCGTGGCCACTTTCATGGGCGGCAATGCGCTGCCACATTAGCTCGTCTTCAACAGCCTCACAACCAAGAGCGTTCATGTCCATCGTGCCCCAGCGAAACCGCCAACCAAGGAAGGACAGCGATGGCTTCGAGCGAAAGTTGAGGCTGAGGATAAGCAGTGGCAGCAGGACGGGCAACAAGAAGTCCTAGCACAACAACCGTTCGAAATTGTGAGGTGAAGGAGCTTACCGAATCACCAGCCAAAACCGCAAGGGGAGCTGCGATGCATCTAGATCCACCAAGATGCAAACTCATGCAATGATGCTGTTAGGTGGCTAGCACATAGTGTATCTTGTCGTCGGGTCCCCACAGCACCACGTATTAACAGGCCGGACGACGCGACGAAAGCCGCAACCACGGAGTGTGCGAATACTAAAGGATGAAGAGCTATTCTTGCTGATGGGCTCGGCCGGAGCACATTGCGAAGTGCGAAGGGAAGCTGTGGTTTGGCTCAGCTTGCGATTCCCGGCTTGCACAATAGCCCTGGTTCTGCTTGCCTGCCACGGGTTTCGAATGATCCGAATAGCACGTCAGGATCGCCATGGGCTTCAATAAAAGCATGGCGACATTGAAGACTATCACTAACACCATCAGCATACCGGCATCAGCACCATCATCGACAGCAGCACCACAAGTAACGCATCTCGCCAGCATCTCCAGCGGTAGTAGCATCATTAAACCCCACGAGTACGAGCAGTCCGCAACAGCAAGAGGACCACCGACAGCATCCCTGCCTGCAGCAGAATATGAAAACATCGAACAACGGCTGTGGGACGAGCGACGCGGTCAGCAGATCCAACCGGGCAAGCACGGGCCGACTAACAACTCCCTGGACAAGCGGAGGGCCTCTCCGACTCTCGTAGCCGCTGTGACAAAAGGAACTTCTCCAAATCGATTGTGGCGGGCGTTTTCTTGTATCTCATCCTTGTTCCGAAAGCACGGCAACATGAGCAAGTTCAAGACGTTCTGGCAGGTGATGATGGCCAGGAGCTCTGGCTCCAGTCCCAACTTGGTCAGAGCGAGGAAGGTCCTCGATCCTGCTCCCTTACGCTGCACAGCTTCGCCATCTGAGAGGACGGTGGTCATAGCATTAACCCAAGGAAGCCATAGGCGCTTTGTGCCTCCGGTCAATGCTCCACGTCCCGCATCTGCATGAATCTTCTGTTCTTCGAGAAATTCTCGAAGAGCTGATGTTTCCGCTATATGCTCCTTGGGAACGTGGACTGCTCACACAAGCATACCTGCATAAACCCACACACACATACATACAAATATGTATATATGTGTATATATATACGATATATGTACATACACATATGCATATATATGTATGTATGTATGTATGTATGTATGTATGTATGTATGTATGTATGTATGTATGTATGTAACATAACATAACATAACATAACATAACATAACATAACATAACATAACATAACATAACATAACATAACATAACATAACATAACATAACATAACATAACATAACATAACATAATGTAATGTAATGTAATGTAATGTAATGTAATGTAATGTAATGTAATGTGATGTAACGTAACGTAATGTAATGTAATGTAATGTAATGTAATGTAATGTAATTCAATGTAATGTAATGTAATGTCATGTAATGTAATGCAATGTAATGTAATGTGATGTAATGCAATGTAATGTAATGTAACGTAATGTAATGTAATGTAATGTAATGTAATGTAATGTAATGTAATGTAATGTATTGTAATGTAATGCAAAGACATGTAACATAAAGTAAATGAAACATAGTGTAACACCGTATCC